CATCTGCGCTGCAGCAAACGGAACGGATAGGTTTTCCGCAGTCGTCGAATTCAAACCGCGTTTCCGTCTCGGACGAAAGTCAGGTATACGGGCAGATGCTTGTCAGCCTTAACAGAGTTGGAAACGTGACCGTCAGAACGCGTTAGAATCTTTTCCGCGAAACGCGAATACGACAGGAAGGAAACACGTGTAATCTCTCTTCTCTTTTGTCCGCTTCGTGAACGTTTTTTCGAAGAATGGGTTAGGAGCGAGAGAGAGAGAGAGAGAGCAACATCCACTTTCGACTGCGAATTCGGAATTCGACTGCGTTTCCGATTTGACGACGTGAAATCGGCTGGAGGAAATAAGCTTAGCTTTTGGAGAAAGAAACGTGACCTTCTCGCCACGTCGGGACCCACGTGCTTTCTTCACGGACGTGGTTTCGCCTGCCTTGGCTTTCCTACACCACGTTTCTATATTTTTTTTCCTGCGACGGACAAACTTTTCCAGCAAGTTTATATTTCGCGAACGCGATTAAAGAAACGGAACGTATAACCTTAAATTATGAAAAATTAATATGAAAAAATTGCTATTGGAATTTATGAATTTTAATTTCAATTTTACTGAAACGATCGAAACGTTAAAAGCTAAAATTTCACGGGTCGCAGTGAGATCGGATAGAGATTCGTTTTACCTGTTTAATTTTTCATGTTGCGTAGATTCGAAAAACGAATCGAAATGGAAACACGTAGGTTTGTAGAAAGATCGACGAATCATCGATGCAGCCTTAACAAACTATCAAAGTTGCTATGGAAGATCGTGGAAAAAGAATGCGACGATTCGATGTAACGAACAAACAAGTTTCCAGCAGAACATCGTATAAGCTCGTTTGCTGTCGATTCGTTGAAACGATCCCTCAAAGATACGTGCACGTTATTACGTTGCAAAAGCAATTACGTCGCCGGTAATAATGACACGGCTCGATGACGTTTTAAAGACCCACATCAGGGAAGATTATCGTGAAATCCTTTAATGTCTGTCGGCGAATACCAGCGGTATCGCATCCGGGTACGTGAAAGCAGAAACGAGAGCCAGTTAACGTACTTTCGTATTACGAGCGACGATAATCCATAGACCGTAAACTATAACCACACAGATAACTCGATGACCACTGCCACTCGTCTGCCAAATTTTCTGAAAATCGTTTAATCTTTTCGTATCTGAAATAAAGACGGTGTTTGTAATTAAAAAGGAGAATTCGCAGTTCGTAACGTACGACGATCGTTAGACAAAATTGCAAGCTGATGGTACGATAACCCGTTATAGTTATATTATAACGCAATTTAAATTTAGTTGGTTTCGGTGTACGGAAATGATGGAGCGAACGAAAAGGAGAAAAAACGAAAAAAGTGGACAGAAAAAGAATTTTACAAGCAGAAATTCGTGACGCTGCATGCCGATGGACAGTTGACGCGATTTGACGCTTTCTGGTTATACGGCGCGATACAACGATCCACGTAAGTTTTCATTGTTCGTGGAATAGCTGCGTGTCTTCTTTGGAATTAGAGAATTCACGGAACTTTATCTTCTTTCCGTCAATCTTTTTTATCGTTATTTTCTTCGAGACACGAGGTTCGACGAGAGAAAGTTTACGAAAACGCATGTGTCGTTGCAATTAAATGCAAATTTCAAGGTAATACGAACGTGTGGCACATGCATAAAATGAAAAATTTCTTATTATCGAAATGAAAAATGAAAAAAGCGAGAAATAGGATAGATAGACACGTGTACGAAGAAGACGCGGCCGATGATGGATGGATCCAACGAGATGATTTACGGTGGCCACCTAATTTACAAGTGGAAATTCTCTAGTTGCTTAGCGGTAACACATTGTTAGGTGATTGAAATTAATTACTCGAATAAACCGCATCACGCAGGCACTTTGGTTGCGAATATTATTGCGCGGATACGTAGGCCGTAGATAGGTGGCCGTATTTACCGGTCCTTCACGTTATGAGGTTCAATTGCAAACAATTTTCAGATTTAATTATGGAAAGTTTAGAATTTTACTGTACATTATGAATATCATCACGGAAAAGGTTTATCGATATATTTCCGAATATACGTAGAAGATCGTTAAACTTATGTTTTCAAATCACTAGTTATTACTAGTTATCTAGAATTATTAATGAAGTTATTCGATCATTTTTGGAGCCTATCCTCAACGGGATGAATTACAAACACAGTTCGGTTCGATTAACCTGAGAAACATAAATTCGACTGGGGCAAGTCAGGAAATTCAATATCTTTCAGACTTATAAGACGTAGCCTTGACTTGCCGTCTATCGCGTGCTTGAAATGTTTTAAACGTATGGAAGAACGTACTCTGACTCGATTTTACGTAATAAATATTTCCAATAAGTTTCGTTCTGCGAAAAATCCGACTGAACTTAATGCGGAGATAAACCGGTGGTTGGTTTCATAGTTTGCTTTACCAAAATACAACAAGCTATTTGCCAGTATTTCCAAGCAAAATGTGTAATTTGATATGCTACTCGCGCAAGTTTTCTAACTAGTTTCATTCGAAACACAAATTTCGAATTAACGTAGCTGATAAGAAAAGTTTGCGCGTGTCTTACGTCCACCGTAATTTGCTCTGTTTTCGTTATTCAACAGCGCGTAATGTACGCTACTCGGTATTTGATCTCAAATATTCTATCTGGCCAAAAAACGAGCAAAAAGGAGTTTCTTCGACTTACATAGCCTGTAGCTCTCGTGCAAACATTCCTGTACGCGACATCTAATCAAAGAGAAGATAAATTCGAAAGCAATTAAAGGTAATTCGAGTCGTGTTAGACGAACCCTGGCGTATTTGCGAAACGAGTGAAGAACGGTTTCCCGATCAAACATTAAAACTATCTCTGTCTCTGTGGTGGTTGGATCGTACGGTACGCCGCGTTGCGCCGGAAGGTAGGTATGTTAAATTTTAGATTACCGAGTGCAAATCAATTTGTGGCGCGGAAGGACGTCACGGCTGCTCGCATCGTAATTACGCTGGTAATAAGAAGGAAAACGGTCGCATTTACTCTGCCGAAGACGAAGACGAAGACGAAGACGACGATGAATTTACATAGTCGCGACGTTTAGGATTTATAACCGTGTGCAATCTGAATTTCATGGAAACTAATTCCGCGGCTCGTTTAATGGAGTCTTCCCTCGCGTGGCATAGACCGCCGCGTTGATTCTATCCGCCTCGATCTCGTTCGTTTTACGCACGCGCCACTGTCCTGTGTCTTTCTCACGCAATTCATTAGTTAATCAAAAGCGTGACTCAACGCGACGCAACCAGTTGGCCACCGTCGATTTAGTTCGCGTATTATTCTTGTAAACGCGCTCGTTTTCTGCGTGACAAGGTGGACAGCGACTCGACGTCTAGTTAAAGTGGAAATCAGGGCGTGAAAATGCCGTTTTTTTTTTTAGTTCTTCGTTTCCCGGGTGTGGACAACTGCTTGAATTTATAGCGACAAGTAACGCGAGATCGAACAATGGTTGAACTATTATAGCTCCAGCCTCTAGGTAGAGCTCCGTACTTCTGTCAATAATTTGACTCTTTTATATATCATTTTGCATATGCCACGATGAAATAAAAATGTTGGACTATTTACCGAAGCATCAAGTTTCCACAAAATTAAATTCCTAGCAGGTTCTTGGCTTGTACAGGTTGTTCTCCACAGCGGTGCATCTTATTACCTTGATCTTACCATATCTGTTTTATGTCAAAAATATGCCATGATCATAGGAGTGTGATAGATGGAAAATTAATAAATCCGGTGATAGATCGACGTGGCTCGTCGAAATCCAGCGCACGGATGACGCGATTATAGGTGATTCTAGCGTATCGCAAGTTCTGGGCTCTTGAACAGCCCCTGTCGCGATTGTTCGACCGACTCGATATTCTCGATACGATGCTCTATGGATCGTTCGTGTCGTACGGTTCTGATTAATGAGAGGACGCGAGTGTGTTCGCGCTTCGGTTGAATGTCAAAGGGAACGCGAACCCGATGCGGAGGATGTTTGATCTCTTCGATTGTCCAATGATTACACTTCTATCGAAACCCTCTGTCATCTATTTCGATGATTTTATGTAATGTATAATGGTGTCACGCGTCAAACAAATATATTAAAAATTATGGGAATAACGCGCGATGAAGAGATTGTCGACGACAGATGATAAGCAGACCGCGGCTGTTCATGCCATTTATTGAAAATTTAAAGGCGCAAAATAAATATAAGAATATGAAATATTCGGGGCACAGTGCCGATTGTAATATTTAGTCAGCCAACTGAATTTTTATCTCGTTCCTCCGTGTGTAAATAAATGTTCTCTATTCAACGACAAATTATTTTATTAGGCTCGAAATTAGACTTTTATTAATTTATTAATTTCCATTATTCTTAATTCGGCCGGCAGTCAACTTTGAAAGAGCAATTGATTTTTATTCGTGTACGTATTTGTTTCGTTTACTCGCCTTGATCCTCGCAGATTATTATCAGCCGATATAGGTTTCCGATTGATTAACTAGCTCGTCACGTTTCAAACGTACACGCACAATGTCCAATGAACGTAATATGCACGAACATAAATAACGATCATAAAGCGTATATTAATATCAACTCGTTACCGGGCTGTCTTTAACGAAGTTTGTTACGGTAATAACAAAATACAATAATAAATTTTCGTGAAATTTAAGAACTTGTATATACACGATCAATATTAGGAAATATGATAGACAAGATATATTTCGATTCTCATATCGTCGGATGAATGTTTAATATCGTTGTACGGCTCTTGATCGTTGAACGACAGACACTAACGATAAACGCAAGGCCAATTACCGAAATTAACGAAAGATGGCTGGTTCGCCCGAATAAAGGTTGGTCCTTGATTTTTTAGTTTTATAATTCGACCGATGGGATATTTAGAAAAACGATGTCGCGATGAAAAATTCGTAGCCACGTACCTGTATGAGAGTCGGACGCCGATAGGTAAACGAGGCAGCAAGTCGTTAGGAGCCGAAGGAGCCACATGACACTACACATGATTGCCCGATGCGTGGCTCCTCCCTTCCTTATCTGTTCCCGCTGCTGCGGTTCGCGTACCGCTGCCTCGACATTCCTGTCATCTGAAACACACGACCGGATATCACGATAGTTTCAACTGCATCCATGCACCAACGGGGCTTCGACTTATCTCCAAGCCGCGTTCGAAGCCTTTCTGTTCGCACAGATCGATTAACTTTGCGAGCAGATTCGGTGAAACGTATAATAGGACGCGTAGTTCGATCATCCTGTCCGTTAAAATCAAGTTCCATGGAAACTCGAGAAATACTCGATTGCTTTTCGTATCGTTACTAGAAGAAGTATTTATAACGCGATAATAGAAAAATACGTTAATAACTTTCGCAAACGTTTCGCAGCAAAAATCATGTCTAAGATATCTCTTCCTCGCATTAACCACTATACGTATGTACGATCGTTGCACGAGTTGTGCGATGTTCGAAGAAGATCGCTTTGCTGCGTTTCATTTTGGCGGATGTAGTTTTTCATCAGGTTGGTAATATTTCAGGGTTTTCCAAAACGAAATGGCGAGCAGACGACGTTCGAATGGTCGAAACGAGAGAGAAGAGTATAGGAGAGGAGAGTTTCGATGCCATGGCCATAACGTAATTAACTGGTTTTATTTTAGCGCGTGCGGAACGGCCGGTTGGTCCGCTAATATGAAAGTATCGCGGACTCCGCGGGGATTAACTTCTGAAACTTTCCCACGGGCAGCGTGCGCGGATTTTAATTAAAGTATAATTAAGCACCGTTGGACGGGGAATTCGTTGAAAGAAACAAAGAATCGACGTGGCGCCCTCTGTTCTAGTTCGTCGTTTTCCATCGTAATCTCGTAAACCAAAGAGAACACGACGAACTTTCCGGATACCCGGTGATCGGTTGTTTTAAGAACTTTAACGCGTTTAACGCGTAGTTACCTTTGATCTATTCAAACAACGGTACATATGCACAGTCGATGTTCCTGATCAAATTTACTCAGAGTTCGCCTAAATTAATTTACCCGTTACGTATAAACGTGATCCACGTGTATAAATGAGAATCATCTTGAATTTATCCTTCCTACGATTTTAATTTTAAGCACATATCCTTCTATCCTCCAATGAAACGTTTTCTTCTATCGCTACACCGGTGGAAATTCGTTTTGTCGTTGTTCAATCGGCATTACGCTCAACGTACGACAGCGATTCCTCGAATTACGTTTCCATTCGTGGTTGTAGAAAAAATTTGGAGAAAATGTAAAAAATATCTCTTCTCGCGATCGGCAACCGCCGAGTGGCCAATGTTCACGAGGATGAAACAAAAAGTTCACAGACCGCACAACCACTGCTAGCGAAATCAATCCTAAATGGTGAACGTGGTGTTACGTAGCCTTCGGCTGCGAGCAACTGTACGTGTACTTTCGTTTTTCGCGTCGTTTCTCTCATCTGCCGGGTCTTCGATTCTTCGCGACAAGGTTTGCCAAGGTTCCGTCGGTTTGATCGGCACGGCATCGGTTCGAAACGAAAGATTCTAGTCACGAACGAGCTTCTTGCCTGACTATGGCCATGTACTACGATATTTGAATAAAAGTTGCGGTTCAGTTAACACGTATTTACAGCGTTGACTCGGAAGGCTCGCGTGCGATTTTATTTGCACGCCGTCGCTGGGAACCTAGGCTTTCAGCGTTGTTCCTTTCACGTCACCTACCGAACACGGATTTCTTTTATCGGCCACGCGATAGACACGCTTTCTACCTGCGAGCATGGAGACATTTAACTTTGACGTTCGATTCGGATATCCTAATCGAATTTTCAGCCGAGTTTTCAGCCAGACTTCGCTCGTACGACGTCGTGAAGAAGATATCGTCGAAAATCGAACGCAATCAACCAGAGTTTGTTAGATTTTATTTGGCAAGGGGAAATTGTGTCAAAGTAACTATATTGTCCTTTAATGTGCCAGTGTGAGATTCATCCACATGTATTCACTCGCGTTCGTAGGCATTACATATACTTTGTAAAAAAAAGCATTGTACAATACAATTTCTTCTCTTTTGCGTTCTTCGACCATTACTTTAACGAATTCTGGAAGTCGTTACGAAACCTTTCGAATTCTGAAATTCAGGTTTGAAAATTGCGAGAACCAATGCTTGTGATTCTTGTTTGTCATCGAAATACAGTTTCTTTCTCTTGTAACCGTTATCTTGCACGAATAGAAAATCGATTGTCACACTTTATATAGAATCAGCAAGTGTCCTAATACTTACGAACAGATGAATAATATGTATCAACGTGTTAGCGAAGCTAGATAAATTTCAGCTGTGCTACCTCACCCTACAGAGCCGGTAGTCCGAAGCTTTCGGGCCGCCCCAAGTAGTCGGGTTATTACCCGCTATGGCTCCATATTTCCAGGCTTAGTCGGAAAAAGTCGGATGAAAATTCGGTCGAGCTCCCGCGATATCTAACATTTAATACAGCGTTACATTTTTTATATGCAATATGAAATATATAAGCTAAAGCTTTACCCTAACTCGGAATTTGAAAATGTATGCTATGTAATGTTGTAGCGCCAAGTAGATACATAGAAGAAAATTCTTTCCGCAGGTTTAATAAAAGCACGTAAACATATAAATATATCCTCTAATCCTTTAGTTTTAGGTTAATATTTACAAAGCATAGTTGTTCGTTCAAACGTTTGATCGCGTCGCGTTTCCAAATTTCTACGATCCTACGATTTCTACGTAACACGATGATTAAGTAATTTAAGCGTTTGCTGCTTACTTATACGATTGTGGGAATTTTCCTTTAATCGCGTGGGAGCTAAAATTCCGTTAGAAATTTACATAATTTTATAACTTGTACGAACGATGAATCAACATAATTGTATTTAAATGTCTTTTTCGACGTTAATGAAAATTTAGAGTTCGGACTAACCATAAGCGCAAAACTGTTCTATTATCGACTGTTGTTTCAAATATTTCATAGATCGAAAGGTTCGACTCTTGGTCGGAGATGCGTTCGATTTAAAACGTTCTGGTGACAACATATTACAGCGAGGCTCCATTAATTCCCGGGAAAGATATTTTCGTTTCGCCTGGAGACGATGCGAGGTCCGGAACCAACGTACCGTCGAAATGTATTTGTCCGTAGAATTAATCCGTCTTTCTTTCTTATTACTCTTCCTACTACTCGACGACTTCTAGCCCCCGATCCCTGCCAAGAACGCTCACACACACTCCAACCATGCTTCGTATATTATTCTACACACACGCGCGTGCTTATCTAGCCACCTATATCGTTAATTTTGTCCTCTTTCCAGCAGCTACTTCCGTCCTATCAAGTTCGGCAGTTTTTCATGGTTTCGTAGGACTTTCCTCGAGGGAGAAGCGCGCGTTCGGAATTCTAATTCGACGTTTCTAATACCACAGGCTGCAAACCATCTTGAAATCGGTTGGAAGATGAACAGGAACCGTGTATCGACTCTTTGATAAATTAACCTCGAAGGTCTGTGAAAGTCGGGGGAACGTTGCCGTTTAAACGCGAGGGCTGGATAACGACATAAGCGATGCGTTGCCATAAGCATGAATCGCTGATATCACGGGGATAAAGGTACACGAGTTCTCGTTTAAGACGCTGCAATCGTCGACTATACGCGGCTATAAGGGAAACAAATTCTCCGCGTTTCGCTGACAAAACGGATCAACAGCCTCGCAGGTGTTTCTCCTGGTGCGTTTCAGGCTGAGAATTAATACGATAGAATAGCGCGAACGTAGTAATTAAATTCGAGATTTCAGATGTAAACTCAGAAATCAAACTGATCAATTGCAATTTTTATCGATCTTTTAATTTCATTTTACGATCGATATCCGGTCGTCGAGGGACGAACGATTTACTTTCTCAAATTTGATTCATCGCAATTCGAAGGTGAATTTGAATTGTATCGATAAATGTTTTATTTGGTTATCTCTAGAATTTATTACCTAGATCAGATCTTCTACCCTTCTTCGTAACTTTCCTTTTTTCCCATTCTCCTTACGAACTTTTCCACTGCAACCAGTTGGCTTTTCAAATTTCCATTGGTTTTCAACTATCTAAAAATCAGCCCGCCATATTCACCTTCCAGGAACGTTATAACCTGTCGAATCTTCGATCGAAACTAATAGGGATCGCGCGCGAAACGAGAATATTCACCGCACACGAGTAAAAGTCTGCCTTTATTAAAGTCTCGTTTAGCGATGGAACAGCGGCAAAAGGGCCAGCTAGAATCGTTGCGAGAAATCAAAATTACTTGAACGGCGGCCAGTTAACGAGAACCGTATCGATATTGTAAATTTCGTTTCGACACGGACTTCGAAATCAACTTTGTTCGATTTCCTTGCCTTCCATTTCCTCCCTCGCTGGCGTTTCATTTTCGAAAGCACGATTTCCACGTTCATCGTTTTCGCGTTTCGATCGCTAATGTCCGATCCAATTTGTCCGCTTTAACATCGTTTAACTTCTATACACGCGCGTGAACCGCTAATTATTTAGCCGGATTTCATCGTTCAATTAACTATGAGTTCTCTTCAGACGGAAAATTCGCATCGATCTCGTCTCGTTCGATGATCGCGTATCCCACTTTTGTTCGACAAATTTTTTAATATTCCAGTTTGTTTCATTTCGGTCAGTTTTACTTTCCATCGTACCGTTCGTCCCCGTTTTCTTCTCTTTTCTTTCTCCCATTGAATGTTCAACGTACTATTTCGAGATGCTTTTATAGTTTTTTTATTCGTTTTTTATCGGTCAGGTTAAGTATTTACGTTATCGTGGAACTTTTTCAATTGGTTCGTCTTTGGTATGGCACAAATGTCGCAACGATTAATTGTATAACGTATTTAACTAAGTTCTGTTTTTGTTTGAAAGTTGTATGCTCATTATTCACGACTGTCTTTTAGCGGAGAACGTATAGAAAGTCAGAGTTGAAAAGCACCGTTTTCACCAGCAGCAGAGTATTCGAACGAATGCGTTAATCGTTCGTTTCTCTTTGCTTTTGCCGTCGAATAATGCCACGAAACGTTGTCTACGTTTCGCTGAAAATTCTACATAAATAG